GAGCTGAAGCCGGTCCCGACATGCTGGAAACATCCGCTCGACCAACTCTACTTTGACTACACCTCTCGCTCCACTTCTACACTACATGTCTTCTGCGAATTCAGCGTATAACGACAGTGCTTCTGTCGGCCTTCTTTGGTTCCGGCAGGACTGCGATATGCGACAGTGCATTCTTCAATTCCGCCACCATTGTCGATCCAAAGTCACGCGCAGGCAAGGACCTCTCTCAAAATAATTCGTAATGGACGAGGGTTGACAGAGTGGTCGGCGAACAGAAACTCGCATACCGCATACTGCATCAGCCAAAGAGCATGGTATTGGTTGATGTGCAGATACCCTGGACCCTCCACCGCCAAGCCCTGTCACCAGCTTGATCGATCGCGCGCGCATATGGGAGAGAGTATCGCTTACCTTGATGCTGTCCGGCAGGACTGGGGTTGACGATGGGGGCCAGAACAAGCGGAACGTGTTGGCCTGCTAAAGGAGAGTTGGCGCCAATCAAGTCCTTCGCCGTCGGGTCCTCGAGGAACGTTTCGTGTTGTTGAAGGGTGAACTAACTTTGTTATCTCGTGGTCCCACAAGCCCCTTCGCGGCGCAGAATTGCTTTTGCTCCATGCCAGGTGGTCTGATCACAGGCCCTGCTCGGCCTTAGTCTCAACCCCCCTCTCAACCCCACCGCGACGGTGAAATTTGGCCTGCCTAGGGAGCCATGTGCAGCATGAAGCAGCGCCACTCCAGCCAGCCTGCAGATACAAGGCGGCGCCTGGCGAGACTTTCTGGTACCGTAACCGTGCTCGCGATATAACAGACATACCTTAGTAGTCACGGTTGCCGACACGTGTTTTGGACTCTATCGCGTGAAGCAACGACAGGCTGCGCTACAATAACGGACTGCGTTGTAGGCGCCTTGGAGGATGACGAAAGAGTCTGTCTACTTCCCCATACGATTGGGCTTTCCTTGGATACTTGAGTAATACTTCTCTGTCCCCCTGTCAAGATAATGCTCAAGGAGGAATACAAGTCCAATGCTTGCCCTGGTACTCATAGGTTTACGGGTTGGGCATCCGGTCATGCGCATTTTGCAACAGGGCTGCGAGGATCATGAGGCTCTGCTCGTGGTGGGTAATCCATCAACGGAAGCCACGGTCTGGACACCCGCATGTGCGACGAAAAAGCATGCGCGGGCACCGGCAGAAGAACTGCTCGTACGTTCACTTCGCATCCATGCTCGCTTTCGGGCCGCCGTCTGTCTCACGTCCCAACACAGCATGGTATAGCACATGGTGCGCGGGAAGGATGATCAACCATCTGGCCGGTGTTTTCATCCCCCCATTTGGGTTTGTGGCTTGCTTGCGGGGTCGCTAGTGCATAGGCGAGGCCGACGCCAACGAATTACCTCTCCGCCATGCCACGGTCAACCCGGTCAATGGTGGTCGACAGTCAGTATGGCGGAGAGGCCCTGTCACGGGCCATGCCGCTCAGCGCTCACATTGTTCTCCTCGGAATTGTGCACCCAGAATGCGAGGTGTGCGATCATGACGAGCCCAAATTTGGCTCACAAGCTCACACAGCTTCGTGTGTGATGGCGCACGGCGCTATCAATCAAGCATGATTACAGCTCATTGAGAATTGAGAACCTGTCATCTGTCCTCCTATCATTCGTATGCATGGAGCCCTACGGTTTCGATATCTCAACTAGGGTTCCGGACTATTGGTACTCACATAGCTAGCAATCCTGTGCTGATCACCCGTCAAAGTGGCTTTGGGCGTCCCCAGTGTCTGTCTATGTCCTGCTGCCGCTGCACATCTGCGTAGCCTTCCAGAAGAGGATGCGTCGACTAGTGAATCTAGCACTGCGCTCTATTGCAAGCGAAATCGCATCAACGTTGGTCTAATCGTCAATCAACGCAAGCGAAGAAAGTAATGCGACGTGAAAGATGGCCTAGATCGTGTCGCACGACTAGTAATGCTGGAAGAAAACTTTGTGCCATCGCTGGCTCAACTCCTCGCCCCAAAAGGCATTTGGCACCATTTTGGAGGCCCCTTTCGAGGTGTTGTATTACGTGGGGGTGGTGAAATGTTTTGAAGAGCATGGCAGTGGTGGAAAGCCCCTCCGCGCTTATCCTCAGGGTCATACTATTCACCAATACTCCGGAAGTCGCCAGAGTCCCTGCAAACCTGCTTGGCGGCCAATAAGGTTACCGGTGCGGACACCATGAGAGGAAAATGAAACATGTCCTGCATACAGGCGAAGACAATGGTGATCTGGTCAATTATCATTCGGAGAAATGTGCAACACAAAACGAAATGGTCGTGGTCGACCAGCATCTTCGCGAAACAGGCCCTTTACGCTATAGTTCATCTGGTCGGCCCTTTCCTGCGCTGTATCCCGCATGCCCATATCCAGGACAGGCAGGGTCAATGCTGGTCGCAGGGCGTTCCAGGCCATCGCAACAAGGTGTGGCGGTGCGACCTTCTCCTCTTCCTGAGTGGCCCAAGCACGTCTCTCAGAAGCTGCGGCATGGTTCCTTGATTACTCCGGAGTATCGAGCTCATACACTTAGCGCTAGCGATATCGCGAACCTGCAGAACTGTGGCGGTGCGCAATCATAACGCTGAGACATGATGTCTGGCTCCTGCAGTAGCTTGATTACGCCCTCGGATCGATCTTGGGTTGTTTTCATGACCAAATTAATTGCGTACACGAAACTCAATCATGCCACGATGCTCAGGTTCTATCCAGTCGTAGGTCTAACGCAGTGTTTGGCCTCGCATGTAACCGTTGGTTTTATGGGCGTGAGTCAGCCATAGGCTATACTGGAGAGTCGCGTCCTGTCAGATGCCACGGCTCCAGTACCGCGTCGAATGCGTGGTTCTCCAGAATCGTGGACTACATTGACAGGAAGCAGCCTTTACAACTAAAATAGCCTCGATCGGATCCAAGTAGTGCGACTTCCATGGCTGGCTCACCCCGCATATGCTATAGCTAGCTCTCCTGCGCCGTTGTGAGCGGCCTTTGATATACATTAGGCGAAGAGATTAGTGCTGCGCCCATGGCGACATGATATACTGAAGCTTGGGGTATCGCTGATGGCGTAAGACTGGATCCAAGCCATTGTCGGGCAGCTGTGTTACATTCCATGGTTGAGGTGCATGAGGGTGTAGCAACGCACTCGACAATCATGCGCCAGTTGCACTGCAGCGGGTATACTTGGCCAAGAGCAGGCGGCATGGCTGATAAGAATGGTTGGTCCTGCGGAAGGGTGTGGTTGACGCCTTCCAAAACCTTATCCACGATGTCGGGCCATGAGGGTTCAGGCACCACACGGAACAAGATGTCACGCTGATTACCAGATGGTACGTTAGCATGGTACGGAACATGAGGTCCGTGTATGACAGCTAGCAGTCGGGAGCCTCTGCTCTGGTCAAGGACACATGGCGTGTGCACATAGCGTACCGTGGCAGCGCAAGGCCCCCAGAGTGAAATTGCTCTGATTTGGCTCAAACGGCTGTAGGGTAGGTGTTCGGTCGCGACCATAGGATGGCCAGTACAGGCGCCGTCACATGCGATAGCCGGCCAGCTGCAATGTGCCCACCACACCAAAGATCGACGACGATTATTCAGAGGACCATGTCACGCCATGCCACGGTAGCCTTGCATTGCGGTCGAGCTGTGATATGACGCACCGCAATTTGGAGCGGTGGTTAGTCAGGAAAACTGTGCATCATCGAGTCCCGCAGTGACGATGTCACAACGTGACGATGAGAAACTCGGTGAGGTCAGCACGAAGAGACGGCCTGTTGGGGAGGCAGTGCAGCACAGACTGAGCCCCACGACGACTCGCTTAGCGACCCCGTTGCGGGCAATGGTCTAAGATTAGCAGTGTGTTCATGTCCAATGAGACGTCGTGAATCTGCACTGCCGCGTGCTAGCGTCACCAGCCACAGCTCGTGCATGACGGTCCGAGCTGCGGGCAAAGCGAGAGGATCGCGTATCAGATGCGCTAAGGGCCGCCTGGCTTGTGGAATGCCAGGACAGGACCTGTCCCCAGTCCGCCCATGGCTCCCCGACCGAAGCGGTGATCGAGCGTGCGCTTTCTTCAGGGTCTATCCCTAATCCGCTTGTCTTTGCCAGATGCAGCATGACGGCTCCCACGCTCTGCACGCCCACTCGCTGACGTGCTTCGACCCCTCGTCACTTTCGGCATGGCTTGCTCTGTTGGTGCGTCGACTTGCGCAAACAGGGGTCGGGCACACCGCGACTCCCAAGGGGTTAGTGCTACCACTGAGCAGTCGGGGCGCGCGATCGAGGCGGGGACGTGAATTGACGGCGGTCGGTAACTTCTGCCTTCTTTTATTTTTCCTAGCGTGGCCTGACCGTTTCCTAATCTGCCACACTATGCCAGAGGTCCAAGCTCGTAGGGCAGTAAAGCCTCCAGGACAGGGGTTTGGCCTGCCGTCGTATGGCTTCGTGCACTGTTTCCCGCTGGGGGCCACGGCCGTCTTGACTCTGGCCTTATGTATAAACCAACTTCGCCCCCCCGAGGCATCGTCCTCCATCCAGGCCTATGATCAACGCAAACACTACTTCGTCCAGACCTCTTCCGACGCCTTGGTTCTCTCTTCAGCACCATAGTCCTTCCCGCTTCTGACTTGTCCCTCGCTTCAGCCAGCCGCCGCCAGGACTACTCTACAGAGAGGGACGACGCCTTGTCACTCTCGTGCCTGGATGCAGTAAAAGATCTACAAAGTTTCCACGCCTTTTGAGTTATCGCCGACTCATACGACGACCTTAGAATTGGATCGGCACCTCCTCCGGGAAGGTAAGCTTTCCCCTGTCGGTCCCTTATAATCTGCGCTAGCCCTACCAACCAAACACCAACGATCCCATCGCACATGCTCAGTGCTTATGCTGACTCCATTTACCGATATAGGCATCTGCTGCAACTCGACACTCGATTGTTCCAGTTTGCTTTGTTTCATCTCTCACATTGTTCATCATGGTTGACTACGCACAATATCCACCGAGCATGCCTCACGACTTTGAGCTCTACTCCGGCAACCAAGAACAGCATCTGGATTTTCACCACAACTTGCCTTACGTGCCTGCCTCAACATACGCCATGGAGCACGCCTTCAGCGCCTCATATGACCACATGGCTACCCTCGCAGAGATGCAAAGGCCTCAAGACCTGCAATACCATTACGATGCCATCGCACAAGGTGTCAAGCCTTACCAGTATCAGACCCCTGCCAGCTCTCCCCACTCAACTTCACATTCTTTCCACGAGCAGCCTCCCATTCTTTCTGCGTCTTCTGAATCCGGTGCTTCAGTGTCGTCTTCCGCCATTGGCTCCCCATCACTTGTTCCACATTTCAATGACTCGTGGAGCACAATGGGACTTGGGGTGACTACTGGATACGAGTATCCAGGAATGGTAGCGACAGATAAGTCATATGTGGGTAAGTCAACAGTTCCCTTACCAACGGCCTCTTCTTCTTCTCCTTCTTCTTTCATTGCATCGCCTACGTCGCCAATCTACAAGAGGCATGTTTTCAAGACGCCCACGACCCCAGCTTCAGCCACTTGGTCCTCGAAACCAAATGAACGGAGAAATTCTCTTTTGCCGCATGGCTTCATGCGTGATATGGCATCAACTAGTTCTCCTTCTGTCATTTCAGTTTCACAATCTTCTCAACTCTCTCAGACTTGTCGGTTGCCTCCCAATGCTACAGATGATGGAAACTAATGCAGTACAAGCAGATCCTAATCTCATTCAGCCATTCGCATTCGCGCCTCAGAGCCCATACCCTGAGATTAGGACTACCCCATCTCCTTACTTCCCCATCATCGAGCAACCACCCTCACCAGCTCTCTCTCAACTCTCTTCCCACAGCCAGCGCCCCGGTTCGGCACGCATCAAGAAGGGTAGCGCCAGCCCCTATCTTCGTACTCAGCAATACCAGCCTTACCCCCAGTACAATGGTCAACGGCGAGGCTCTGTCAACTCTCTTCACTCGCACCACTCAGGCAAGAGTGGAAGCAGCTTCGACAACGACGAGACCCGCGAGAAGGGAATGTGCCCACTACCAGAGTGTGGGCGCGTCTTCAAAGACCTGAAGGCACACATGCTCACCCACCAGAACGAACGACCGGAAAAGTGCCCGATCGCGACCTGCGAGTACAACACCAAGGGTTTCGCGAGGAAATATGACAAGAACCGTCACACGCTCACGCACTACAAGGGCACAATGGTCTGCGGTTTCTGTCCAGGCAGTGGTTCAGCGGCTGAGAAGTCATTCAACCGCGCTGATGTCTTCAAGAGGCACCTTACCTCTGTTCACGGCGTGGAGCAGAATCCTCCTAACAGCCGCAAGAAGAGCCCATCAAGCCGCAAGGCTTTCGGTGGCTCGCAGCCCAACGTTGCTGGTACCTGTTCTACTTGCTCGGTTACTTTTGCCAACGCGCAAGAGTTCTACGAACATTTGGACGATTGTGTGCTGCGTGTTGTACAGCAAACCGACCCAAGTGAAGCCATCAACCAACGCCTTCTTACCTCCGTTGCAGAGGATCCGGACGTCACTGAGACTCTCGATCGCAACGGTCTATCTAAGAGCATTGAGTACACAGTACCCAACTATTCCGAGGATGACGAAGATGACTACGAGGAAGAGGAAGTCGATAACGATGATCACGATGACGCCACATACGGCTCCCGTCGCGGCCGCTCAGGCAAGGGAGGCATCAAATCCTCGAAGAAGGATTGACAACTAACACATTCCCGGGGTGTCGGCGCAACGCAGCACGCCGGGGATGGTAACCACCTAACAAACCACCTCTCCTCTTCTCGCATCCAAAAATCCGGTCCTCGCGCTGGCCTCACCTTCTCCAAAGGCGGCGTAGCCATCACCGGTTCTGGACGCAAGAAGCGCAAGAACTACCCGGTATCTTGGGGTTGCGCTACCGATAAGATGAAGATGAAGAAGCGCGTCTTGTGCGTATATGATGGCCAGAGAAGGCTATGGAAAGATGACATGATGCTCGACCAGGAGTTCGAAGTACGTACAAAGTTGCCTGATGGCAAGTCATACGTCACAGACTTGGACGTCCAGACCCTCAACCGCGCAGATGCCCTGCATGGCGCCACAAGGGAAGAGAGAGGCCCCTGGATGCCCGACAACATTGTTGGAGGCGTCAACGGTGTAGGTATGGAGCCCGCATCGCTGGACTGGGCTCTCTGAGCATGATTAGAGATACGATATTTTGTTTTTGTCATGAGCGTTTTGAGCGTTTTGAGCGATACGGATGGGACACATGAAAAAGGTTACACAGCAACCCGCACACAGACATGGCTCCATGAACGAACGAACGAACATGACCAACGAACTTCTTTGCTGTACTACCAAGCTTGTAGTTTTGCTTTGCTTTACTCGATCGATACCACTGGGACTTTGCTTTCGGCTGTCGGCGTTTATTGTCAAAGGAGATGTAATGGACGTGCTGGCCGCGAAGATATAGTTTCTGAATCTATTGACTATCACCATGATTATATTCTTCCGCTTAACCCTGTGACTCCTCCGAAGAAGATGTGATGTTATGGACACACTGACAATAGCTTGGTCGTACTCTTTTCAATCGCGGAGGCATTCTCTAGAGCTGCGAGGACGTCTGATGCCACTCGCTTGTATAGAGCTGACATCGACCACGCCTCGGACCTGCGTCGTAGATCTCCCAAAACTCCGGTCTCTGGAAATTCCGGCTGTCATAGCCGTCTAGAGTAAGCTGCCACATTTTTCCGATGAGCTGTTTATCCACGGGCGGTACCCGTTTCCCAGGTCTGGATTCTGGCTCAGCCACAGCTGACAATGTGTGTGGGCAAAGTTTGGAACGGACGGGCCATGCGCTCGATACCGGAATATCGGGTTGACCCAAGCGTGAGGGTGTGCTGTTACGATGTGTTGCTTTTTGCAGCAATATTTAGTTATTATGGTGGCGTGTCGGGGGTCTTTTGGTATGTGCTTGCAGTCGGCGCATTGACAATGCATGAGGGTATCGAACGAGATTTGTTTTGGTACCCAGATAGGTGTCACAAGCAAGCTGGATCTAAAGGCTTCTGGACCCAGCTGGTTTGAGCGTAACAAAATCCCAAGTGTATTCAGGGTCGTGTTTCAACAACACATACCTTAAGGTCTCTTTTGGCTTTGACCAAGTCTAGATCCAGTGCCGACTTCAGAAGCAACACAATTCATGCATTGATAAGTTGGAAACCATGCAAATTGGAATTGCTAGAGAAATGTTGGATGGATGCAATGGAGGCTACAGGCGCCAGTCGTGACTCCGCGTTGTGAATGGGTGAAAGTTGAGACCCGTGTGCTGCGGCTTAGTCAGCCTCCCCGCTGTGGGGGGAACCTGGGAAGGCAGCAGCGACCTAGACAGCCGTGACAGCTTGGAGCTCTATCGACTCTCAGCATTACGCCGCAACCACACCCTCACCCGTCCGCACACAGTACGACACCGCGTCATGGCGTCGAATATCGAACAATCGCCATTCTTCCAGGAGCAGAAGTCGAAAGGCGAGATCGTTGTCAAGGGTATGACATAGTCGATGTAACATTGGCGCGTGTCGCTAACTCCGATAGACCCTCCCAAGTTTGACCTGGAATCGTACATTGCCAATTACACCGGTAAGGCTCTCAACATACTGCTTCGGTTCTCTGGGCACTGACAGATCTTATAGGCTACACACGAATCGATCGCTTGCACCACATCGGCGCCCACTCGCCATACCTTGCCGCAGACGCTTACCGCCTCGCTATCGCCGAGGCAAAGAGGGGAAAGAATGTTGATCTATACACAACACTGGTAGAACAGTTCAGCCGTATAGCACCACAGGACCCTGCGTCTGTGACAGATACAGCATGGGTTGAGAAGAAGACGCGGGAAGTGCGCGAGGAGCACGACCGACTAGAGCATGAGCTCAAGTCATACAAGAACAACTTGATCAAGGAGAGCATACGAGTACGTGCCGGTGCGGAATGAACCTGTGCTTCTTCGCTAACTGCCTGTAGATGGGCAACGAGGACCTCGGTCACTTCTACTACGACACCGGTGACTTTAGTAACGCACTCAAGGCTTACATGAAGATGCGCGAGCATTGCACCTCGCCCAAGCATCTTGCAGACATGACCCTCCGCCTCGTATATGTTAGCATCGCACAAAAATCATGGACAAATGTATTGGCAAATCTGGCCAAGTCGGAAGCCACTCAGATTAAGGGCGATGACAAGGCCAAGATGGAGCCCATCATTTCTGCTTGCAGCGGTCTATGTCACATGGCTACTGGCAACTACCGCGAAGCTGCGACAGCGTTCCTTGGTACATCAGCGGCATACTTGACCGCAGAGCCAGCAGCGTACATTACATGGCAGAAGGAGGTCATTTCGGGTAACGACATTGCGGTATACGGTGGTCTTTGTGCGCTTGCCTACATGGACCGCAGCGATTTACAAAACAAGGTGCTTGCAAACAGCGAATTTCGTAACTTCCTTGAGCTCGAACCTCACATTCGCCGCGCTATCACCCTCTTCTGCAACTCCAAATACAGCGCATGTCTCGAAGTGCTCGAAGGCTACCGCAATGACTATCTCCTCGACGTATATCTGTCCAAGATGCTGAACACCATCTACAGCCGGATCCGGACAAAGAGCATCGTGCAGTACTTCATACCCTTCAGCTGCGTCACGCTTGACGAAATGACGTCCAAGTTCCCGCCAGCGGGAGGCCGGACCATCGACGAAGATCTGGAAGAGATGATTAACCAGCGTGTTCTTAATGCGCGCATAGATCTGGTCGACCGCCTACTCATCTGTCCGCCCACAGACCCCCGCCACGACGTACATGCCGACGCTCTCAAGATGGCCGAGGAGTACGACCACACCCTGCGCCTTCGATTAACGCGTCTCAACTTGCAGGCAGCGAGCATGGAGATTTCATCAAACAAGTCGAATGAGAAGTCATCTGGTATGGGTGGAAGCATCGGGGACACTTTCCGCGGTTTAGGTCAGAAGATAGGGTTTTAGGAGACACCTAAGATGACCAGGGAAAACAACGACGACGTCAAACACGATGAGATGATGGATGGGGATTAGGGCAGGATGGAGAGTTTGCGCGGCTGGCATTGCAAGGCGTTTTTGGAGCGGCATGGCGTACATATACAGGCTGGGCAGGGATATCAAGCGGCATTCTGGCGTTGGAATGATGAGGCATTGCAATAAGCGGAGCTGTCTAGTACCAGATAGCTGAGTCAAGACGTCATGCAGAAGCATAATTATACCATGGTCATTCCTTCATTCAAATTCGTAACATGCGTGTATATAATGTGCCAATCTTCCCGCAGATGGAAGAAGATATATCTTGGGTATCTAGAATTCGTATCGCTGAAAGCCAAAATATCCTAAATCATGATTTTGCGCCAATGTAATAGCAGCCATTTCCTCATCAACTCAAGACAGTGGTGAGTAGCCTCGTCATATGACCAGGCTACCCGATCCTTATCTAAAAATGCCTGACCCTCTCGTCGCAGCCCATTGGTCTTGTTGTGGTTGTTGTGGTTGTTGCTGCTGCTGTTGCTGTTGTTGTTGTTGTTGTTGTTGTTGTTGTGGTGGTGGTGACGCACTTTGATATCCGTAATACCCAGTGGGTGCCCATGCAAACTCCCCAGGACGTCCATACGAATTATTTACATCAAGGGTGGGCGCCGGTGGCTGTTGAGACTGTGTCTGTGGTAAATGCGCGTTCGTATGTGCTGACATGCTGTTTTGCGTCACCATTGGCTGCGATGCCATGGGATTGACTGGCAGCGTGTTCTGCGGCATGGGCCGATTGAGCGTGCCATACGGAGAGTGGTTGGAGTGGTTGGCTGCAAAATAGTTTTGATGTGTCTGAAGCTGTGTAGTTTGCATTTGTTGGGCTGTCGCTGCCTGGAACTGCTGTTGTGGAGTCATAGACTGCTGTGAAGGCCCAATCTGCTGCGGCGGCTGCTGCTGCTGCTGCGGTAGTTGTTGCGGTAGTTGTTGCGGCGGGTTCTGTAGGCGCTGTTGGGGTGATTGGCTACCCATCTTGTAGGCTAGCTGTTGTTGTGGGCTTCTCACGCCGTGCGGTAGACCTTGATTGAGTTGTTGCAGTTGTTGACGGTGGTTTGGTATTGAATGTTGACGTTGCGGTTGCTGCTGAGACACATGGGGCAACGTCTGTGACTGCGATACTTGTGATCGGTGACGAGGTTGTTGCGGGACTTGTACTGGTTGCGGCTGTTGTTGAACATGAGTTTGTTGTGGTGGTTGCGGAGGCGGAGGCGGCGGCTTTTGTTGGACTTGGGATTGTTGCGAGCGAGGTCGTGGCGCCATTTGCGGCGTCTGGATTGGGGTAGTCGAAGCTCGTTCCCGAGCCTCATAATGTTTCAGCTTTGCCTTGGTTTCCTCGAGCTCCTTCATGATCTTTGCAAGCTCGGATTCGCCAGCGGGATGAGCTGCCGGTTCAGGAGCTTGGGTAGGTGGTCGCTGGTCCTCGCCACTCGCTGGCTCAGAGTATACACACAGCCGTCTCTTGTCGTTGCATGTCGAACATATGGGCTTAATGCCATCACACTATATACATCAGCTGCTGTTGCTTGAACGTCCAATTGTTTGTATCCTACCTTGGTCTTCTTAGCCTTGCAAACATCGCAACTGTTCCTCGGCCGCTTCCGCTGTGGTGCTGATAGTGATTGCGTTTCAACATGTAGTGTAGGGCGCGGCCCTGGGTGAGGCTTTTGCGGGGTCGGACGAGGTGGTGGAGGCGGAGGTGGTGGAGGCTCAATGAGCGTGTGCTGCGAATGCGTGGGCGGCTCTACCTGGATCAGCTCTAGCAACATACGCAGACTCTGTTGTCTCAGGTCGCTCTCAATCGTGTTGGATGGCCTTGGAGGCTCCGGCAGAGGGTCGGATCGCTTCTTCTTGATCCTGGGCGTGTCTGGATCCTCACTGCTTAGCTGTCTCGAGCGGCTTGCGAGCCTAGCCAAAGCCTCTGGGTCATTCTCCTCGAGATACTTGCGCCGCTTGGAGTCTTTGCGTGGGGGCGGGGCGCGTTCCTCGTATGTCTTGTGTATGGGCACATGCTTGTAGAAGACGTCGAGTGTCTGCTTGGTGGCCGAGAACTTGATGGACAAGACACCTTTACAGTCGTAGACGGGCTTGGTGGCACGTTTGCCCAACTTGGCACCCTTGCCGTTGGCAGCGCGGTCCTTGTTGAGGAGCGAGTCGTTGCAGTAGTAGGAGAAGCGGAAGCTGTCGTCCTCCCTGCTGTTCCAACAGTTGTGGAAGCTGTAGCGGTATCCGTCGATCTTCTGTATCGTGTCGACGCAGCACTTGGCGACTGCCCTCTGTTTCCGCATCTTTTCCTTGGGGTCCGCTGTTGGCTGCAAAGCCTCTCGTATGCTCACGGCGGTTTTCTGCTCCGCCGGCTTGGACGCGCCATGGTTGGGCTCGATGGACTCGGTGAAGTTGTGGCCCAGGGCGAAGTCGGTGTCTGAGAGGGACTGGTACTGCGAAGGGCCAGCAAAGTGTGCGGGCTGGTAGCCGGGCGGCGCATGGCTGTATTGGTGTATGGCGTGCGACTGTTGCTGTTGGGGCGGCGGCGGCGGCGGCGGGTGAGTTGCCTGTTGAGGCTGCTGCGATGGGGTCGGCTTAGGTGGTGAAGGGACGGCAAAGGACGTGTCGATGTCGAAGGCGAACTGGGCTTCGGTGTGCTCAGGCTCTTCTGGCGGGCTTCTTAGGTATTCGCGTAATGACGTCTCGAATTGGTCGGGGGAGCGGATGGGGCCGTAGGGCACCGTCTTCGCGAGCGCGTCTCTGGGCTGCCGTCCACGCGCGAGTTGCACGGGGGCCTGGGGCCAGAGAGCCTGGTCGTTGGCATCGTGGATACTCGTGGGTTGAGCATGGGCAGCGGCCATGTCAAAGTGGAGCCCGCCCCCGACCAGGTTTGGGGTAGTGAATAAGGAGTTTTTGAGATAGCCGTCTACCGAGACCGTGCAAGCCTTGGCTCCAGCCCTAGACGCGATGATCAACACTTCATGGCCAGTGTGACGGGCGGCTGGAGATGGGCTAAACACGCAAGGACACGGCAGGGAGTGAGCCAAAGTACAGAGGGCAGCAGTGCAGCAGTTTCAATGATTCAATATACTCCAGCCGCCATGAGAAGCACGGGTGTAGGCATCGGAGCGTGCCTAGCCCGATGACGCACACACCCAAACCCGCATCAAATCTCCAGGTTGACATCGCCCTCGCTCCCACCCTTTTCCGCCTTGTCCTATAAGCTGCGGACTAAATACTTTCGTTATCCCACGGACATGTTATGACATCGATACTATGAGATCGTTGTCCTCAGATCTGAACTTCATCCCACCTCCCATGCTTACGTGACATCAATACTATGAGATCCATGTCCCTAAGCCCATACTTATCTCTACCCGTGTTTCTATCCCTGCATACCATATGACAATATTCGCTACTGTTACCACGTCTAACGTCCAACCCCTGTCTTCAACCAATATGTATTCAAAACGTTCCTTCGTCCTGGCCACTCTATCCTTCTCTATCTGCAGGTTGGGCAGGGCCTGCTTCATCTGTTGAGCTATTCAGAATATGTCATATCATCCTCGGGGGATGTAGCCTGGACCAAACGAAGAGAAAGTATGAGGAATCTGTGGGTAGCCTTGCTGTTGCTGTCCAGATTATCTGTGCGCCTGCGAATTGTCGCGCGGTGCCGAATATACCTGGAGTCCATTGGGAGGACAGGCAGTTGGGTAATGTGTTCCGAACCCCGATCCATGAGCTGGTGAGACGCCGCGTAGCGTCATGTAGGGCGCGTTTCGAGGTGAGCGTGTAGATTGTGGGCCGGTGAATGATGTACCTCGACCCTGCTGGAAATTTGACCCGGCATAGCGAGGACCAGTAGGAATAGGTTTTTCGTGGCCTGGTAGTGAGCCTCCGGGCGTGAAGGGTGGCGCGTCGGGGTTGATCTGCTTTCCAGGGGCAATAAACACACTGGAGCTCGAGTTGCCCTGCTGAGAGTTGTGTGTCGTGGTCGCGTCGGCCTCAGACTTTGCAAGGGTAAAATGCTCATCCGAGCATTCATCCTCCATTGACCTCGTCTCGCAATTTGGAACATGTTTGTCGAAGAAAGCAGTGTTGTACTTGAAGATCTTTTTGCAATGACCACAACGTACAGCAAGCTCCCAAAAAGCCTTGCAAGTCTTCAAGTGATCGTACATGTCTTTCTTCGTGTACCACTGAAGACAGAGATTGCACTTGGTGTGCTCGACCACTTTCCCGCTCTCCAACGTTCGATCTTCGTGGTTCTCTGCCGGACGTACTATCCCAATGCTGCTGAACCTAGCATCGAAACATGGAAGCTTCAGCTCACACACTGCGTCATCAAAGTAGGTGTTCTTTGAGTTGATGTCTCTCCAGTGACTGTGCCAAAACTCACGCTTCTTTCGACGGGGGATGTTCAGTTCGCCAGACAGTGGAACTGAAGATGTCATCGACATTTGTGACAGCTCTTCATTGCTCTCAACAGTGATAGCTTGTGAAGACGATTCTGGCGTACTAGCTGGGTAAGCCTCCTGCTGTAAGCTATCTTGCTGACTGCCTTCTGTCGAGCCAGTGGTACTGTGGTTGGGGTCGTCATCGTCGTCAACCTCACCACAAGTCTTAGAGACGCTTTGCTTGCACAATTCGCTGACCGTCTTCTCCTTCTCAAGCTGGAAGATCCTTTCTTTAGCAGTCTCGAGAGCGATGTTTGCTTCACGCGCCTCTTGGCGCAGAACCTTAACGGTGGCCATCTGCTTCTCTAGGTCTTCCTCAGCTTTCAACAAACGGGATTTATGGCTAGTGTTTTGCCGGTCGAGCTCATCGATTTTGTTAGACATCCGTTGTTGGGTACCGTTAGCAGCAGCCTCACTGGCTGCTAGCTGATCCACAAGCTTGGTCTTCTCGGCATCTGCAGAGTGAAGCTGTTTGGTAAGATCGGCCATCTCTAGCTGGAACGCTCGTAACTGCTTCTGAACTTCAAGGTCATGAGCAGCTTTCTCATCTTGGAGAATGCTGACAGCCGACTGTGCTTCAGATAGCTCATCTTGGAGTTGGCTCTTTGCTTGCATCTCTGTGCTACGGTTCTTCTCCAAGACGGCGACAGACTCTTCGAGACGCTTGATGATCTCATTACTCATCTTGGTGTTCTGACTTCCCTCCAACTCTGCTTTTGCTAGATCTTGGATGAGTTTATTAGAAAGGGTACTGGATTCAGATAGTTGCCCTCGGAGCCGGGTCTTATCTTCGTTGGACATGCGCAGGTCGTTCTCCGCCAACTCAAGCGCAGTCTCAATCCTGAACTTGGAAGCCGTGACATCATCAAGCTGTAGCTTCAAATGTGCTATGAGTTCTCCATCTGTGATTTTGGAGGCCTTGAAATGGTCGAGCTGTAGCATCAAATATGCTATCAGTTGCTCTTCGGTAAGCCTCTGCGATTGAGCCTTTGTGTAATTCCTAAACTTCTTGTATAAGAAGATAGCCCCTGTAGCCACAAGGCCAGCTGTAGCAAGGCCGAGAGCACTACCGTTGCTGACAATGCTAGCATTCTGCGCTTGTGTGTCGCTCAAAAGATGTGTGGTAGTGTATGGTGCTTCCGAAATATGTGATGAAAGTACCGGAGTAGGTGTAATGAGATGTGACGTCGTTTGGTGTGCGTGTGTACCGTCACTGCCAATATGATGGCTGATAGTGGGGATGTTTTGCGTGGTCTGAAAACGTCTGTTTGCGCCTTCGGTGTCCATGCTACTAAGAATATCTGAGAGTTCTGGGATGTTTGTACGGGCGGTGATCTCAGCGGTAGAAGATAGTTCTGGCTCCGAAATTCCAAAGATCTGGGTTGTCGGATGGTCAGGGCTCATACATTCATCAGGTGTGTACAGACCTCTCCCTAACTCAGGCGCGGCGAGGTGTGCTATGAAATGGTTGAGCCGCTTGGTATCGATGTCGATTGGAAGCCCTTTCTCGTAGACAGTAATGGCTGCTAGACCCGCTGCGGCTGTGGCAAGGAACGGCTTGATGACTGGATGGTTCCAATTCTGCAATAGAATGGCCAGCTGTCTGCCGTTGAGTTCTGCCATGTTGCTGTGTACAACTGCTGCAAGAACAGCGATTGCTTGGGTGGTACTGAGCGAAACGTTGGTACGCGGGCCAGTGAAAATGAGTCTTAGGTGCAATGCGGCCTGAGTTCTAGCTTGACTGTCGTAACCAACCAAACTGTGGTGGAGTTAGGAGAATAGTACGTAGGTCGGGCGGAGTGGAGATGGGCGTACAAGATTCTTCGTTCGCGGTCGCTTCACTGTGAACGAGTGCGGCAACAGATTTGTCGCAGTGACCTATATAACTCGAATTGATGGGCTGAGTCGCAGAGCGGCTGGATTTTATCGTGGGTCCAATTGCGTAACAAGAGAAGAATAGGTGGGAGGGTTCTTCGGTAGCTGGAGCGGAGGGAGATCTTGCTAGCGCTTTGCCAAGGACAGAGTGGGTAGAAGTGTCACATTCACTAAGGATTGGGAAAGCCCACGGTGATGTTGTCCGATTCACCTCTAGGAGGATGCTTTGACGATATGTATTTCCAGGCGCTAGCTGCAGTATGTCATCGTGGAGCTTCAGTCGTGGATAGAAATTGTTGGTTTGGGGATCTCCTTTCTGTTCTACAGAAAGGTTGGTCTGAAGTTGCCATTGCCTTTGTAAGCTTTCACAATTCACCACAAACACTCTGATACCAAGAGGGAGCGGATCCGAGAAGCCATACAGACATCGCCTATTTCACCTTTCGTCTTTCATCGTCTAACCCCCAATATTCATAGTGTACATCGGCTAAACACTAACACCAAAGGCAGCCAAGTGACTTGAAAGTGAAAAGGAAGAGCAGAAACATATGTATGTATGCAAAATAGCACGTTGAGCAGTCTGGAAGTAGATGGGTGTACGAAACACCTTTAACGAAAACGTCTTGTGGCGACTAGACTGCGGGAGAACGCAACTACATCACGGGAGCTGACAAGATTTGATATTGAGCAAAGAGAGACACTGCGTACATAAGAAAGAGTGCAGATATGTGCGATGAGAACTACACGAGGAAAATGAGCGATGATGCGAACAATGCAGACTGAACGGGTATTCTTCTGACTGAGTGAGTTGACGATACGAAAATGGCTGCGGCTCTTACTGCTGGGATGTCGTGGAAAGGGGCCAGCCGAGCTCGAATTGCTAAGCTCTTCTCGAGGAAGCCGACAGGAGCGGAGAGCCAGGGTGAGAGCATACTGGCACTTTCATCCAGTGTGACTGTTCTTCAATGAACATGTCTTGTTGACTGGGGGCAATCACGTAGAGGATGTCTTCCTGGAGCTCGTGGTATAAACTTCAATGTAGTCGTGTTGATCCACTGTTTGTATCGATGCTTCAGCTGCCGAAATTCGAAGTGAATTCAGGAGGGGATATTATCGGAACAGTGTCTGATGAAAGCGACGCCCGCAAGCCTCGTTATATGCTTCGAGAATAAAAGGTGTCGACGTGACAAAGTCTTCTGTCCTCCTCTTCCAGACTGTGAACATCTACCAGTCATCATCACTATCCTCTCCTGCGATATCTCCTCCTTTGATCCTATCCACTACCCTCTTTACACCCTTCTCCACACTCTCGCCCTCAATTGCACAGCCTTCATGCCAAACGATGGCATCCATAACGCCGTCCATGAACCACATCAGCGTCGGCACGAAGCTCACATCCAACATATTGCCTAGTTCTGGCAGCGAGTACATATCGAAGCAATAGATGTCGACGACGTCGTACTGCTCGTAGGATGTTGACGGGAGTAGTTTTTGAAGGGCGGTAGCAACCTCATTAGTTGTTTCGTCTTCGGGCCAATAGGCTAGTAGAACAGTTTTTCCTGCTGTGGCCTTGATGCAGGCTGCATATTCGGCTATGTTTGTGATTTGGGAGAAGTGCGCCATGGTGATAGGGTCTTGGTGGTGGTTGGACGACGGTGCAAGGAAGTTTATGGATCTAGGGCTAAATTATTAGCTAAGCTTTGGCTAGTCGTCTTCAAGGGTCCACCCGATGCGCCCACCCACGCTCTTCCGAATGGCTAGCATACTGCCTTCCTCGCATCTTCTCTTGCGTAACAAGACGGGCCTTAACACGGTGCGCGGCTGAGTTCCGCTCCAATCGTTTCATCTCGACTGCAGTGGTGATATGTGAGACTCTGCGACGCGTCGCCGGTTGCGACGAAAACATCACGTCATACACAAGCTACAGTAGCAAGGCTGTGTGTGCACCAGTCTGTAGGTCAGTATTTGGGGATATGCCAGCATTGCATCTATACGCACCGGTCGCTGACAGACAAGCAGCTGTAGCATAATTTCTCTTCGAAGCATCCCTAGTACCTCAATCCTCCCGCTATCGGATACGTTACGCGCGATAACTATCTCACCACATGCCGATGCAGACATACTGCATCGAGCGCGCTGTCACCTACCATTCGAAAACTACCCTATCTGATCGGCATACAAAGGGTCATGCTCAGGAGCGAGAGATAACACAATACTGGTAGTGCAAATGACGGCATTCTGAGATGCCTAGAGATCAGAGCGTCTTATGCGACCTCGCTGGATGAATATGAGAACACTGGTGGCGACTATTGAAGTGGACATGTAACAACTTCTGCATTGTCTTTCGCGAGAGTCCGTTGCTCTTCCCCGCATCGCTTTGCCTACTCAGCACCAACACCTCGCGTCCTAGTAACAATACTAGTCACAGTACTGGTTCTGACAACTGCACTACTGACTGTCCTTGTGACCGTAGTACTGGCAGGTCCCTTGGTAATAAAGCACGAGCAAGCCGACGAGATCTCGCCAGGACCGAGACCAAGCGAGATGTGGATGCCACCGGGGAGACCGAGTGAGATGTCGAGTTGGCGCTTGCGCACTGGAAGTTCAGCGGGGCAGGCGGCGTCATAGAAGGTGTAGGGAGACATGGGGTTGTAGTTGGTATTTTCCGCCCTATTGATACAGTCAGTATGCGGCAGCACTCTATCAAAGGGACCAAACTTACGCAGTGACGTCGAAGAGCATGCAGTTTGCTTCTCCGTAGCCGAAGCTCTTACACTTACTATCAGCCTTGCAAAGCGCGCTGCAAGCATCGAAAGTATTCTTTGTGCCGCTAGACTCGAAGTAGTACGCTGGCGTGGTCTTGACGTACGCGACAATACCGCAGCTCGGAGCGGCTGTGGGTGTGCTGCAAACAGATCAGCTTTCTGCAGAATGCGAAAGGTCACAGCTGAACGACTTACGGAGATGGGCTCGAAATGAGGGTCGAAGACACTACTGTGGAAGAAGGCTGTACAGGTGTAGCCGACGATGATGGCTTGGGCGATGAAGACGACGACGGTGGCGAAGGAGATGAAGATGTTGACTTCGATGTTGGCGTCGGTGTGGGAGTAGTTGTCGGCCGGATGGTAACTGTAGTCTTCTTGGTCGTGGTAGTTGTCGTGGTGTAGCCATTGGTGACGGTGGCTGTTGCAGTCCCTGAACGAAGGATGTTGGAACAGAACAATGCCGCCTCAGACGTATGCCCTTCAAATCCATCGAGACCGCAATCCTCAACTAATCATGCGTTAGTCTACCCTTTTCCCTAAGGGAGCAGTTCATACCATCCGGATACCCCCATTGCCTTCTTTGACGACCGGACGCTTCCACGCTCGCAGCAAGAACTGCAGCAAATGCGACGGAAAACCTCATACTGGCTTTTTCAGACGCCCTGATCAATGCGGAACTTTTGGGTGGGATGGATTGGTATCAAAGTTGACGCTGAGCACGACTGTCAGCTGGTAGAGTCTCTACTTATAAGCAATATGTAAAAGCTTCCACAGCAGAATTCTTACACTAAATAAAGCGGCTGAGCCGTATGTTGCATCTCGCATTTCATTTGCGATAGATGAAATGCGGGCTTCTTGCAGCCTCGGTGATCTGGCTGGGGCAAGATGGGCTAGAACGCGTACATTGCTGCTACCATAGTAAATGAACACGAGAATATGACCGCCTCCCGCCGGCAGATGTTGTTCGACACATGTTTACTGAGCAGAGGTTTACGCTAGTTTCTGCAGCCAGACATGTGGCTTTCCCGGTGCTATGGTCGAAGATTGAGTTGTCCAATCAAAGACGCTCTTGAAATTGAGACCGAAATATCGAAAAGTATGGGGAATTAGGCTTAAAGTAACAGGCGGACAGGGCTGCCGTAGTTGGGCCCATTGTCCCTACACATCCCGGCAAAATACATCTGCGTCTGGCCATAGCATGGAAATCGCTACGCAAAAATAGCGACGATGCCACCTAACACAGGAACTATCACTAGGTCTCTTCGCTAGCGTACGTACCAGATCTAGCCTCCTGGACTCAGGCGATCTGTACAGCTTTGCACCACCAAGTGTGGGCCAGATGCTCTAATCCATCCGCGCCCTTTACCCAGCCTGGACCAGACCGGCGCGGACGCGACAACTTCGCATGACGAAAGAAGGGTAGAAGAACTTGGTTTGAAGGTTTTCATACACGCCCAACAAGGTAATTCTATAGTAACTATTCTAAGCGAATAACAAACCACAGCCGCTTCGTGTTGTCCAAATGAAATTTCAAATGGTCTCTGCTTAGCGGCTTGAGTTTGGCCTCGACGTTGAACTTGATGCCGAGATCATCTCCTATTTCTTTCCACATTCTTTTGAAGCTTTCCACGTTATGCCGATACATTGTGCCTGTAGGGCCATCCTTCTCGAGAGGCTCAGTGGCTCCAACTTGACGACCGAGTATCATCGAACCCGGCTGTGGACGTAGCAACACTACAACGGCTTTGGATACTTCGACTTGTTTCTCGTATCCCCATAGGTGGAAGAAAGATCCAGCATAGATCATATCGATTTGGCCTTTGACATCCGTAAGTGCCGACTTGGAATCGAAGATGTCCGCTACTAAGAACTTGGTCTTGAGCTTCGCTCGATCGCGGAATAGACTGTAGCCTAGTTCGATGAAATCCGGCTGCAAATCGCAGCCGTAGATGTTCTCAGTTGGAGCGCCGTCGTTCGCAAGCTGCCGAATAGTCTGACCGAAGCAGCAAGCCATGTCTAAAAGCTTCTGACCTTTGCGTATGCGTTCGACAATCTCATCGTACTCGTCGGGCAGCTCGGAAAAGCTCGGCTCAAGGAATCGAAACTGTCCTATGCAAGGATATGGGTGAACCTTCCAAGCTTCATCACGGAGTTTGATAACATGGTCTAATACGTCATCGGATGGGATTTCACTCCACGATTCCAGGAGCCGCCGGGTCTCGGAAGGTATATGATCGTGTGAAGGGTTCTCTTCGAACCACGAAGGAGCTGTGATCTGAGCGTTATTGACTTGAGACATGATCGTAGAACACAAATGGTTGATGAAACTGGATGGACGGGTGTGTTGGTGTGTTGTATCTTAGTGCTAGCGGCAGGGTTTCGCGCTAGTGCTTATTTCCGAGCCCACGCACTGCACCTTCATCCCTTGACTTTGTCTCAACTCAACAAACCACAATCTCGCCTGTCACACGCACGACATCACGTATCGCTCTCGCAAAAGCTGAACAGACCAGGACTTTTGCACTGCTCCGTGTGACAAAACATCCAGATTGAAACTGTTCTCGAACCTGCGAGACTATACTTTATAACGACCATGCAAGTCCTAAAGCATATCGATTCAGCCATTGTATCTACTCATCGAACGGTATTGAAATGTATATCGCCCACTGAAGACGTTCAGGAGCCTGGACGCTACTGCAATCTCACCAGTTGCACTATGTCTTGTCCACGATGTTTGATCTCGTCGCCAGAACAAATTATTGGCTTCCCCTGGATCATCAGTCAAGACATAAGTGGAACTGTGCTTCGCATAACCCAGTAGGATTCCGTCATTTGTATCACGAAACGGTCAGCAAGCTGATTGGATCCACTCTCGGCGGATCAATACTGCAACCGAAATGACATATCTCTTGTTGTTAAAAACGTCATTGTTAGCGAGTCTGACGAAGGCCCGCACGTATGGTTTTCAGGGTACATCCGGGATGTACGTACCCACCTGCTCCGTTGCTACGTTGTCGACAGTCATATTCACATCGATTTCCGACCTATCCATCGTGACAGCAATATTTCCATAGCGATCGCCCCTTCCCTTTAACGCTCTCAGGACTCACGAACCCACCGTTTTTAGACGATCTATGACGACCATGTACATCCAAGACAAACAGAAAGAAGATACATGGGGAGTATGGGAGGGAAGGCTGACGTGAACGCAACCTTCCCTTCCGGCGTACTCTTACACAAGCTGGCCAGCTCGGCACTCACTGTACCTTTTTTGCGTTTCCAAAACGAACAGTAGGTAGAAGGGACCATATATAATGATGCCCGGGGGCAGGTGAGATACATCGGCTATCTGTTACGTCTAGCCCATCAGCCATATCATCTACAAAATGCCGGAAAAGCTTCCTAGCATCCCTGGACGCTCCCCTTCTCAGAGCACCGAGAATACCGAATCGAAGAAGCTGCAAGAACATGATGGAGGTCATGCAGCATGGCTCACGGTTGCGGGCTCCATCTTAGTTTACTACGCTTCCTTCGGAGTTATGAACAGCTTTGGCTTCTTCCAGAACTACTATAGTAGTGACTTCTTGAAACAGACGCCGCCATCGACTATAGCGTTTATCGGGACGCTCCAAATGGCACTCATGAATTTGCTGGCTGCTCTTTCTGGCGCTCTTTGTGATCGGTATGGTGTTAGGGTAAGTATACTTCACAAGCTTTACTTGCCTAAGACTCATAATGCATAGTACCTCTATCTTGGCTCAGGCACTGGTACTGCACTGGCTCTTGTCATGCTGTCGTCCATACATCGTGGCCAATTCTGGCTGGTTCTCATGACACAAGGTTTGCTCATGGGTCTTACTATAGCATTCGGTGTACAGCCAGCACTCACAGTCGTGGGCCAGCACTTCAAAGAGCGGCGCGCTTTGGCGATGGGGCTTGTATCAACAGGGTCAGCACTTGGCGGCATCGGCTTCCCGCTAATGTTCGAGCAACTCCTACCGAAAGTGGGCTTTTCAAATTCGTTACGCCTAGCTGCTGTCAAGATTGCGTACGTACCAGTGCTCTACAAGTCGATCGTCAGCTAACCATTGAAGTGTTTGCTACTTCATCGCTTTGTGTACCTCCACAAGCAAGCCTAGCGGTAAGCCCGATCGCAAAGATTTCGCGTCGCTTATCGATTTCAGAGGATTCCTTGACAGGAGCTATGCGGTACTATGCATCGGCACGTGGTTTGCTATTCTCGGCCTTTGGATTCCCGCATACTACCTTAAATCATATGCCAACGCCGTATATGCTGGAAACACTGTTAGCAAATACTTTTTGTGCATGTTAAACGGCTCCAGCATCGTCGGCGCAACCTTTGGCGGGTTCCTAGGAGATTGTATCGGCCGATTGAACCTACTATGGCCCATTACCTTTGTCTCTGGTTGCCTGTGTCTCTTTCTCTGGCTACTCAGCACTTCCATGGCGACCCTCATATTCTTCGTTTGCGTATACGGCTTCTGCACTAGTAGTGTGACTGCTCTTCCGCCCTCGGTAATTGGCCAGATCACATCTGACGATAAACTCGGAGCCCGCATCGGTGCTTTCTATAGCGTGATAGCTATTGCAAGTCTCATTGGTACGCCTATTGGTGGTTCCCTCATTACGGACGACAAGGCAAAGGATGGATACCGATGGCTGATCTCGTTCTCAGTAGGCTAACTTTCGACTATTATCGCACAACCACTCTAGTGACTAACAAGCGACAGGGAGCTTCGCTCATCACAGGATCAATCTTCATGCTCGTCAGCCGCCGATTGCTTGACAAAGACCTCGGGAAAAAATGGTAGACGTGTATTGTCCTCAATACTCAACCTTACATAGAGCTCGGATGCACGACCTTTCTGCATAGCACCTCGCATCGACACTTAGGTGGCCAGAAGTCGTCTTGAATGATCTCTCGCTCCTCTACACCCACGTCTTCTCTTTCAACACCGGGTCCAACACTCTCTCTTAGCTCTACGCCTCCCACGTCTTCCCTGTATAGCTCTTCAAGCTCCTTGATAGTTATCTTCAGACCTCTTTTAGCACATGCAAGGAACTCGATGAATCGTCTCTCCTCTTCGTTATCGATGAACCCATGCATCTTAAATTTCTCCAAAGGAGCCAACACCTTAGCCGCTCTCTCAAAAATGAGTCGATGCAGGACTCGAGGGCAGTTAAAAGGCTCGCCATAGAAGAGCCTAACTGGCTGTCTGTAGTCGTCTTCCAGAAGGCCTTTGGCATCGGGTAATTTGATGATAAGCTCATTCAGATATGGAAGTCGCTCAAAGACTTCATAGTCTAAATGATACGGCTTCCAGTGCTGTGAAAAAGATCCCGTCGTGACCTTGAAGAAGTGTAGAGAGTCCAGAAAGGAGAATTCAAGGTACATCTTGCGAATACCATGATAGAAAGTGGCATATTGGCTGAGATGTGGGTATATCCTTGGAAACGATTTGTACAGATTCGCCAACTCCCAAGTCTTGTCATCGTGTGGAACGCCGTTTGGCTCGATCAGCTGACGGTGCTTACCCAATCGGCGGATACAGCTCTTGAAGCTATAGAAGTCTCTGGCTACAATACAAAGTCCATTGCTATAGGTCATCTCTTTGCTTCCCACAAAGCACAAACGTAGACAGATTGCGCGGACTTGGTGTGAGACGCTGAGGAGTGAAGTCCATTTGTCGAACTGCCCGGTGACTTCGGGTGCGCCTTTAGATTTTTTGGCTCTCGATTTGTTGGACATCGTTGGCGGTGGGGAGCGATGCATGCAGAATTGGATGATCCGCTCTTTCAGCTCTGTTGGTAGTCGCATCCAGCTGAAGATCTGGCTGTTGGCACTCCACCACTGGAACATGACTGCGTCGCCCACTGGCTCATCACGTGTCGGGAACTCGATGTCGAGGAACCATTGCAGTGATACGAATCTATCTTTTACGTAGACCTCCACATCTTCTCCGAACACCCATTCTTTTCCGCGCTTCTGGATCTTGGGCCGACAAGCAGCCAGGACTGGACTGATGCCGAAGTTATAGAAGCCGACGTAGAGCATGAAGTTCTGGTTAGGTTCGGCGAAGCGCTCAGGATTATCTTCGTGAATTGCTTGGCATACCTCAATTGGTATATCAAAATGATTCGCAGATTGGAGGCGATACTTGAACACAGATTCTCGGACTTGATCGACGAATGGATGCTGAACTGACAGGGGCGCTTGCCACTCATTGAGCGAGATCTTGAGTATGGCGTTCATTTTGAAACTTAGACGAGGTATATATTGTAGCAGTAGTGCCGGTTTGTTGAGCTTCGATCGTCTGCTCATAGTATTGGAGGAGAGTAAGTGGTGTTCAATTGTTGGTTCAATGACAAAAAGTGTTCGTAGCCCTGAAACTGCTTACAACTGGAATTATACATTGGAGGGGATGCAAACTGCAACGAGACATTTGTACAGAGCGAGACTGCAGGTCGAGTCGAAGGTGAGGTAAGTCTGTACTGGCAATAGCGCTGGATGTTAGGCAATGACCCACACCGCACAATCACTGAGTTATATACGAAGTGAGAGGAGCGGATAAAGCTACTGCTTTCGTATCTCTCTGTGCTTTTCAGGCAACGACGACCAGTAATACACTCCCGATAGCGATGATGAAGGATCGTACAAAGCCTGCGTGAGAAGCCTGAAAGCTGTCCCTCTGCAACCAAATGCATTTAAAACGCCTTTCAGTCAATTTTAAATGAGACTGAGGCTTTTATCACCCTGGTCTGTTCTCTAGTACCGATTGTCTATTCGGTAGTACGACATCACGGTAAGTACTCATCGTCACACAGCGAATCCAAGACTTGATAGGTTCTATTAATCTGTTGAAATGAGTTCAACCAAAGTATATGCAGAGCCTCGAAAGGACATGCGCCTCAAGATGTAGATCCCAGTCGTGGTTCCCTCTGTCTCAAGACTCATCTCAGGCGACCGAGCTACCAAGCTGTGGGATAGAGCATCCATTGTGAATCTCTATCAACATGAGATGAATTGTTCAGAAGCGCCTACCTTTCGGCACGGGCCTTACCAATCCTCCGTTTGTACCCCCAGAACGTCCCACGGTTACACATTATTCCCGACTCATTTCACCAATCAGGTTGTACACGGATAAATCCTTCCGCCTCTCTCGTGGCCGCTACTCTTATCTCCCTACTCGCGATTCCCACTTGAACCGCTTGGTGAGCAACGAAAACCTGAGACCGCCGCGATGAAGATACTGGGCTTCTTCTACGCCGTCTCTGGCGTACTCGGCCTCACCTTCACCGCGATCACCACCGGATGTACCAAAGAAGGACTGTATTGCCTAGACTTCTCTGGAGCCAACAGCGATGTCTTCAGAGTCCTCACATGCAAGAATGGCAACACCCAGGTCGTCAGCGAGTGTCTTGCAAAGGAAACCTGCATCGACAACCCCACACCGCACTGCACCCCAGAGAGCAGCCCTCGGAAACCATCGCTCGTCAGTTCTAAGCCGGTCCCTAACAGTTACGTTTGGTCAACCACAACTTTGGATACGATGTTGCCAACCCCGCCAGTGTTCCCTCAGGTTCCATCCACGATCGACGACCCCTCCACCAGCAGGACAATTACCAACCAGCTAGCAGCGCGGCAAACCCAATCGCCCTTCCGCATCCTCATCTTCCCACAGACAAGCATACGCGGAAAAGGCACTTCATTTGACGTCGATGGTTGTATCCGGCATTCCGAAATCCCGTGGCCCATCCGCTCCCTAGTTGTGGAACGTTACTTCGAGTGCATGTTTTGGGATGGGGACGACTGTTCAGAAAGAACTGGTCCGCGGCGAAAGGAGGGAAGCGCTACGGATCGTAAGATGATCGGGGATGTGAAGTTTGGTTTTGAGATTAAGAGTTTAAGGTGTCATGCTGTTCTCGGCTAAGTTAGGAAAAGGTCTGATGAAAACATGTTGAAAAGGATGGATCTCAGACGCAGAATTGGATCACGTCAGCAAACCTCGAGTTGGGCGGGACCGAAGTATGTGCATTGATGCGTCAATCATGTTGTGATCTATTTCGTAAGGAGGATACGGGATCGCCAGCAGTCGGATCTTTTCTCCTGTCAGCAGTCGCAAGGAAGGTAGCACCAGACCACTTACACCATCCAATCTCCAATGGCAATAGCGATTCGGCACCTCTCGTCCATGACGGTATTCTACAACACCGGGGTATATCTCGTAACCTTGTCTTCCAATTCTCTCCCCCC